GCTTTTCCCCTAAACTGTATCCCCGCTGATAGGGCAGGTTAATGAGGGCCCTACGTTATTTTACTCTGGAGTCACAGCCAACCAATTCATAGGCAGGAAATAACAATAAATCCCAACAATGGAATCAAGCAAGCAAAATCTTTAGCAGCAAAACACAATGAAACCAAAAGGAAAATCAAAGTCAAACAAGATTTAAGTTAAGACTTATTAATCCTTTGGAGTCTTAAGCAGTAAAATGCTACTACAAAATTTCAACATGTGTTTTTATTTTAGGTGGTCAATTTTCCATCATGAGGATTTAATGCTGCATGAATAAGCAGTCTCCAGATCTAAAATAAAACTCCCCAAGTTTCAGAGTGTGTAGTTATGCAGCACGGCAGAATGACACGAGCTGGGTATACCTGAGCCACACAACACAATTATCAAAACCATCTGAGCAAGGAACTACAGAGGACACCCGCTATGGTCCCCAAGGGCTATGCACAGGCATTTAAGGTTGGTCAATGGCCACACAATGGGCCTGCAATTAGCTTCCAGAGCTTCTCTACAGCTAATGGAGACACGTTACACACTCCTCAGAAAGACTGTAGACGCTTCTCCCCTGCACTCACCAGTTTTCAGCCCCTCGGCCCTCCTAGGGTGGTGGGGCACTTAGGGTGGCCCCTTCTTCCAGGGAAGGGGCTAGACAACGTGCTGCCTCCCCACTGTTTGCCACTGTGTCGGCAGTCTCTCCACAAACCACACCCATCATCTCAGTCTTCAGAATCTGGATGGTAAAGGGCGACACCTCCAAACTGACCAATGGCCCCAAAGGCAACTGGACAGTTTCAAATCCCAGAGTAAAGCAAGGGAGGGGGACAAATAAAAGGCCTAAGTCACAGTGGCAGAAAATAAGGGGTTAATCTGTATCCACACCCTTGACAGCTTCCTTGTGCTGTGTCCCATCCGTCCTATAAACATGAATGTAGACTTACCCCACTGGGCTGATAGAAGCATTCAGATGACATGATTCACAAGGCCATTCGAAGCCCCACTTTTATCAGCCATAATGAAGAGCTTGCTTTACAGATGCAGCCCCTGGCACACCAACCACACTCCAGTTGGGGGGGGGGGCACACACCTAAGAGTATATGAGCAGCACAAATGGGACTTCACTGGTTTCATTCATTTGCTTGTTTTGAGGAGGACCTGATGTTGGGTTCAATGGAGAGTGGATCCGGCAGGAGTTGGGGAAGAGGGTACATATGATAAAAATACATTGTGTGAAATTCTCAAAGAATAGAGGTACTTTCAATGGTGAGCTAAGGGGACAGCTCAGCAGTGAAAAGCTTGTACTGCTGTGAGAATACCTTACTATCCCCAACAGCCAAAACCAAGTTTCTCAGCGTTCAAGAAGCATTCCTGCCCCGGAAACTTGCTGGTGCCCACAGTGAGATGCATCGTAAGTGCCAGCATATCCAGGCAGAAAAGTGCCATCACGGGCACTGCCATCTGGAGTACAGCAGAATATGGGGCCATGCCTTCTCATTGGCAAGCTAGTAAAAAAGCAGAGCGCAATACCTGGCATTTCTTAAAAGAAATTTTCTTCTGTGCAGGGAGCCTAAAAGGATTACTTGTCAAGGGCCTGGATCCATCAATTACAACAGAAGAAAACCTGTTTAGAGAAAACTACTTTATTTGGACGTCTGAAATACCCTGACCTATGATGTCAGGTCCTCTGAGGAGTCTGAGCCAGCAATTCTTCCCTGGCAATGGAGCCACCGTCACCTCACTGGTGTACAGGTACATAGTAGCTTTGGATTACTGACTCCAGTGAGTAATAGCCCCCAAGTCACAGACATCAGCAGAAGGCCAAGAATCTGATTCTGGTGCATTGTTTTCCACCTGCCCGAGGCCAGAGCTGCACTTACACGCTGCTCGGGTCAGGGTCACAGCTGCTGTGGGTTTTCCTCTGTCAGTCTGCCTTCCAGGGGCTGAGGGTGCACTGTGAACGTGACCCGAATACAGCTGGGCTCTGTTCTGCAGAATCTGGGATAAACGCTGGCTCTGGAAGGTTCGATCAGTACCGCAGGTGGAAACCAGGCAGTCCTTCTTAACACTTGCTGAGGAGTTTTTAATGGCCTCGTAGAAATTTCGGTTTTAGTGAGGGAAATTAAATATTTATTATTAACTATGTCAACAGCACAAAAAAATTGTTCATAGATTATAAGATCCAGTTTCTTTTAATGAAGATTCTATGATCAAGTTTGGTGTACAAGTAAAGAATAGACAGACACACACCACAAAAATCTGAAAGAAAATGAACGGGCAAATAGTACCTAAAGAGTCAGAGGCACCGTGGTGTTAATGCCAAATGGAGATGATCAAGAAAGGAAGGTCTATATGTCAAGGCTCTGCCATCCTGGGTGTGAAGATTAAGCTAGACCCTGAAAACACGTCAGACGAGGTCAAGCCAACGGGTAGAGAGCTATCTAAAGCAGGAAATCCAAGTGTGTCGGCTACGAGCGCAGGCCACCGCAAGACCAATGGACTCGCCCCTCCAGAACGTAAAAAACAACACAAACCACCACATTCTCATCATCACATGGATGCATGTAGACAGAACAACATGAATAGAGACAGACGTTATGTCTCCTGACATGACCTGTCAGGACAGCAGGTAAGGAGGAAGACCACCAGGATACCTGCCCAGGGGTACTTCTCACAACAGCCAGTGTGACTATGGAATGCCGCCACACTGATAACCCGAGGTGATGAATACACCAACGACATGACCTTATACATTATATAGATATGCTAGACACAATAAAGACCATTTTGGATGATTACAAAACATATTAACAAAGCAGGGAGAACCCAGTTACCCTAATCTTGTTCCTCAGAGAAGCAGCCTACAGTCAGCCCAGGTGGAATCTGAGAAAGAGGAATGGAATTCGAGGGTTTGTTAGAAACATAAGCTCTCCAGCATCTCCCAGTCCGCTGAATCTTCACCCGCTGTGGGCAGGGCTGAGGAGAGTGGGGCATCTTACTCTGGTTTCCTGAACTAAAGAGAACCCTGCTAAGCTGCCGCTCCTACTGGGCCCCACCCAGCTGGGGATCTCGGCGTCCTGAGGCCCGGAGCACTTGCTGCACATCAAAGGTAAACTGAGCGGACAATGAAGGTGAGCCCAGGACAGCCAAGCTAGGTGCTGCTACTCAGCACTCCTGGTGCTCCCAGAGCCTGAGTGGGCCTGGCTGATTGGCCAACAAGCCCGAAGTTCTCCTCCTGTCTCAGCACGAAGCACTTTTTTATGTGGATTCTGCGGACCGAACATAGGTCCTCATGCTTATACAGCAATACTTTACCAACCGAGTTGTCTCCCCAGCCCAGGTCGATCCTTTTGAAAATACACAGGCAGTGCTCTCAAACTAAGGGAAACTGATGTTTTCATGTACAACATAAGAAGAAAAAAAAATCAAGACCTTGAGTAGGATGCAAGTCCCCATTACAACAAAACCTTCCCTGCCTGCTTCCACCCCTCCCCACCTCTCCCACGGTAGCTCTCAGGCTGGGGTGCTTTTCATGACACTTTCAAATGCCTATGAAAAGGAAGCTGGGGAATTCATTCCACACTTGACTTATGAGGAAACATAACGAACTCTTGTTTTGGGCCCAAATGTGCTGTGACTTGAGCAATGGCTATCCCATGGCTCATAATGTCACTTTCCTGCAGAACCACGCTGCAAGAACGATGGCTGACTAAACTGTTCTCCACTGACTCTGATGTGCACTCACTGAAGGAAATACTGGGATCTGGGCGTCACTAAGTCACACACTAATTCCGGCTCAAGTCAGCCAGGGTTAGACACTGGGTAGCAGGGCAACATCAGAACGACTGTCACTGCTGATTCGTGGTTAAAGGTGACAAGAACATTTCGGTGCTCATGATTTAAGTCCACAATACATCATCTTCAGCATAGAAAACTGAAACAATCTTGGGGGTGTAAGCACACTGGTGCACGCACACTCGCACGCACATGCCCCTCTAGAGGGTGAATATGTGAACTTGAAAGTTTCACTCTGATTTCAGGTCAGCTTTTCAACATCTTCTGGTCACCCCAAAATTTCAGCATAGCAAAGTTCTCTCAGCCTCCTCTCTTAATACTTAATAAGATCATAATGATCTCATATGAATCCAGCTGAGGCTATAAAAAGCCAAGTAATATGAGGAACACTTTCCAATCCATTTAAAATCCCAAGAATGCCCAGCTAGGGTCAGATGACATCATTATCTATAATCTATTTTAAGCAATTTTAGTTTAAAAAATTTTAATGCTCTCTGGTGAATTATAAATATATTTTGGATGTAATTCTATTGACTAATCAAGCAAGGACTTATAATTATTCAAAAATCTGTCTTGACTTTTCTGAGCACTCAGATGCCCTCTGCAGGCTCAACACCCCCTGTTCTACAGTGATTCCTTGGACTCCATCAAGCCCTGTGGAGTCAAGCAAGTTCAAGGCTTTCTGTTTGTATTAGTACCATTTGCTCCAGGAGACCTGAGCTGATCTACACAAGCTTGACATTAACCCAGGAGATAAAATCAGATGTGAGTTACCAAATCTCCATAAGGCAAGATGCTCTGGAGTAAAACAGAATATTAGCTCAGTAACAACTGAAGACTCACCTACTCTAGGACCATTTCCAGAGACAGCCCACCACAGCGCAAACATCCCTCCCTCCCTGCATCGGCAAAGCTACACAGAGAGGAGCAACAGTGAACTCCCTTCCCATGACCCCAAATTACCCCAAACTGAACTCAGATCCGACCGGAAGCCACACCCATCCCCTTCCGACCTGGAAACAGGCATTATGCAACAAAGATTTTTGCCTTGCCCTTCTCCTTCTGGCAGCCTGCCAATTAGGGAGTGTCCTTGGAGCTAACAGCTTAAATGTTGTCTGGCAAAAACAGTGGTGGCTTTCCTTCCTTCAGCACCACACCAAGGCACAGCAACTTACGTAGTGGCTGTGCCGTCTCCACAGTCCCCAACATCTGCGGAAAGGTGGTTCTTATCTGGTCCAGGAGGCCCAAGTGCAGCTGAAGTTGTGGGAGACGGAGTGGACAGTGAGTCCTGACTGCTGGTGGGAGGCTCCTCCTTGAGGGGACCGGCGCTGTCACCTAGAGGGAAAAGGAATTGGATTTCAAACAAACTGGGAAGGGAAACATAAAAAATAGCACTGTTTATCAATCAGTCCGATTATTTTCAAAATTACACTTACAATTCAGCCAGGGAACCTGATACCTTTGAAGGTTTGTGCCTATGGATTTGTTGGGTTTTGTTTTGTTTTGTTTTTTGTTTTTTTTAAACAAAACAAGACAAGAAGACACTCTTAACGGTTATAGTTTGAATATAGAATGTTCCTAGACGACAGCACTGCTGGAAAGTGGAGGAGACCTTCAGAAGTGCAACCTTGTGAAATGTTTACTTGGTCACTAGAGGAATGTCCTTCTAGGGGACAAGGACCCCAACCTCTTCTTCCTCTCTCCTTAGCAGCCAAGAGGTAACAGCTGTCTCTACCACATGTACCCAATTGCATCCCGCAAGCCTAAACACAAAAGAAACCAATCAGTCAAGGATTTAAGTTTAAAAGTGTGAGCCAAAGTGAACCTTCTCTCTGTGTAAGCTGATTTACCATAGGTGTTTATTACAGTAGCAGAAAGCTGCCTAACACACAGACAACACTCCCATGAAGAGTGAAGAAGGAAAATAACTAGTCAGGCTGAATGGAAAACAAGCACCTTTTATGCAGCCATGATGACCTTTAACCCACAAAGAACCCAGATACAAACATCAGGGACAGCCCAGAGTGGCACAGCAGCTGGGCAGAGCCAGACTCCTCAGGCTCTCGTCACTGTGCATTCTTTCATACTGGTGTGTAACGGAAGAAACGTTGAGGGACTAGCCTTTCGAGCTGCTACCCTGGATTACAATTCCTGATGGCCCAATTTATTAGTATTCCATGAAGGAGCTTCGGTTCCCGAGAACACTGAAGGGAGAGTACAGAGTTGGGTCCCCGCAGAAACTGCAGGGGAGGAATGTAAACCACAACTAAGAAGCAGATTCTAAATGAGTGTGTGATTTATGCCACTTTATAAAATGTTTGCTATCGTTTGTGTATATTTAACACCAGCTTGTGTTAAAAAAAAAAAGGGGGGGGGGACGCAGAAAAGAGCTGCAAAAGCAGCTGTTTCTCTCGACTGGTCTTCTTGCTTCCACGGCTCTCCCAGCTTCTATAAAACACTGCAATGGTACTGCCAGAGCTTTGCTTTTTCCGCCCAAAGAACTTATTAAATATTGACTCCCCCAGTGACCTGCAGAGGAAGCAGTTCTATGGAAACAGCACTGACTTGGCCTTGATTTTCCAGGTGATGGGTCATAACAATTGCCCGACGCTGCCACAGCAGCAAATGGAGGTCCACAACCTCAGCCAACATAAGCTCCGAGTGTTCTGAGCCCTCACAGTTTCCCGTCCTGGATCCGAGGCGCAGTGTGCGCAAAAACACCAGGGTCAGGGAAGACCTCGCTTGCAGAAAACCATTCCAGAAACACTGCAATTTCTCCCTTCTAAAATGAAGCACAAGACAAATTCTGGGCCCTGCCTAAGCTAGATCTTGGGATGCTAACCTTGAGAACTGGGTGTAGAAAATAAATCTGACTCCTGACCTAACTCAGAGATAAAGCTCAGCGAGTGTGTCTTAGAAATGACAACCAGAAAAGCTAAATTGGGGGAGTGTGCATCAACAATAATCGAGAATGGGGTGCGGAAGAGGTGCCTAGGGAGACATGGGAATGGAGGAATTCCATGAGTACACAGTCCTTAGCACCCTGCAGGGAAGGTGGGCGTGTGGAAACAGAGCAGTGAGCTGAGCCAGTATTCTCCCCGGACTGTGCCTCCCTGCAAGTCTTGTCCCATGCTTGTTACAAACAAATTCTAGAAATACTGCTTAATTTTTCTTTCGGCTAAGATGCTTCTTTGATTGCCATTCAGCACAAACATGTTTATAACTGGAGAAATTCCGTCCCAACAATAGGGCTGGGCCAACTTGGAGGCGAGTGAACCAAAACCCACCGTTAGAACGCAGCTTCCGTTCTTTTTACAACAGAGTTCCCTCTGAAGGAAGGGCCACCTCTTCCAGAGCTTAGAAAGCTCAACTCCAGTTCTCTGCACAAGAGAACAAACTGTGTCCCTGAGAGGCACTCAGCTGGATGTGCTGGCACAAAGCTGCAACCTCAGCACTCTAGGGCCTCGAAGGCTGAGAATTACATGTAGATATCCAGCCTGGGCTACACACGGAGGTCAAGCTAGCCTGGACTACGCACAGGACCACCAAGAGGAGGCTCCAAGATAATTTCTATGGCTTCTATGTGAAATTACTCCCCCTGCAAATACGTTCCTATGTTTGAAACTGTCCTGAAAGGTTTTGGAACCTTTAAGAGGCAGAGCCTCAAATGTTTGGGGCCTGGCTGCTCTGCTATTTTACGATCTGCCCCTACTTCCTATCCCCTGGATGCTTCCCTGATGGGGGATGCAATGAACCTAACAGGTGCTCACACCTCTCGGTGCCACCAGGATGGACTGCGCTTATCTCTTCAAACTGCAAGCCCAAAGAACTCCTCACCTCACCTCTTCAGTGGCTGCTTGACAGGGCTTTCAATGATAAAAGCACCCTCAGTGTCAAGCAACCTCAGGACAGCTACCAATGTGAGCTCAGCTACAGGAGCCCAATTCTGCAGCTCCTCATGCAGAGCAGGCTCCTTCACGGTGACAGTGACACACAGTTGGTTTCCTGGCTTCATAAGGCCGAAGCCTAGACTGCCATTCCTCCAAGGTGGTTCACTGACTCCAGGGCCTCACACAGCAAAGCAGCTGTGGAGGGTCTGAGAGAAGCCTTCCTCCTGACTCCTTCCTACCACGAAAAGGGCTGTGCAGGAGAAGCAGGTCTGAGGAACCCGTGAGCAGAGGTTTTACTTTAGAAACATGCCTGGGTGTTTTTCCCCCAGACACAGAAGCTCATGTACAGCACCTCTAATCTTTTCCCCAGGTGCACTGACAGCGCACAAACTGTCGCAGCGTGCTGAACCACATTCTATTAGGAGAGCTGGCTTCCTGTCTGCCAAACAGTGCCAACCTGAGCCCTCAGGGGACAATGACATGGGTGGGAGTATGCAGACTGAGCAAACCAAGGCACCTCGCTCTCCTTTTCAGCATCTGACCTCCTCTCCTGCCTCTGTCGGGGAACGGGTCTGTATACTGGACAAAAATCACCAAATACGAGGAGCATTGTGTAAACACAGTGTATACACAGCGAGTCTTAGAACCATCTCCCCAACTTCTGTTCACAGTAATTTCGCCTAATAGTGCGTGCGGGTTGTCAATATATCCATATGTGAAGACAGAGCCTAATCCCAAGTGTTGTCCTCAGACACCTTTCCCCCTCTGAGACAGGGTCTCTCAGTGGCCTGAAATTCAACATATAGTCTACGCCAGCTGGCTAGCAAGACAGAGGAGTCCACCCATCTACTCCTGCCCTGCTCTGGAATCACAAGCATATGCCATCAGGACCAGATTTTTTTTTTAGTATGTGTTCTGGGATGGAAGTCAGATCATCACGTTTGCAAATTATTAAGTTATCACCTAAACCATATATCACTTCAAATCTTCTGAGATTAGTTTATAACTGAAGCTGCAATCCGGCAGTTTATTGTTCGCTGTGCATGAACAGAGCCTGGGGCCCAGTGCGTGCCAGGCAAGCACTCTCCCACAGGGCCACAGCCACGGCCCCACTCTGATCATTTTCATCTCCCCCTTTACCCTCAGGGGCCAGCCACGCTTTCATGAGCATCTACAAGGAGTCCTGTGAATAAAAGAACAAAAATGATACTGAACAACTTCTGTTTGGAATAATCAGCAAGACAAGCGGCAACACCTGACCTAAACCTAACTTCCACCAAACACTTGTTAACTGTGCACTCTTTCCTCTCTCAACTAAAGCAGCATCAATTTGGCATTTTGATGTCACATAGTAGTTTCTCAACCTATTCTAGCCTGCCACCCAACTTCCAACATATATGCTTTGAGGGTGGAAACTATGTCTCAGGCTTGGTAATTCTTCACAAGCACAATGTGCTACCAGGCAAAATTGAGAGTCCTGAGGTAATGAAATGGACTCTGCGGTACAAGAAGGATCATGGATATGAAAGCCACTGCCTCCAAAATTGGGCAGAGAACAGGGGTGAATTTCAGTGTGTTTTCACAAAATTGGCTAGTAATTTCTACTTGCCAACTCCTCCCTTCCAGACCACAAACATCTCCAACTTCCTGCCCTCAGACTATTCACCAGGCACATCATGGATGAGACTTTACAGTCACAGCATCAGTCCCTAGCCCAAAGGTGCTCACAGTTTAACACAGGAGACATTGATAATAAACAGAGCAAAAGGTGGCATTTGCATAATGTGACTTTCTCAAGGAGCTTTGAGACTCAGAAATAACGAGTTTAAAAACCTGACAGTGGGAGGGATGGAAGACATGTGGGAGACATGCAACAGAAATAAGGAGAAATTACTGCCAGACTCCCAAAGAATAAAGGCTGTGGTAGAGAAACATCACAGTGGAAAGACAGGTGAGAGCTTGGCAGTTTCAAAGCTGTTAAGCAGTTGGCTCTGGCTGGAGTATGGAGCAGAGGCAGAAAACGGGGCTCTACGTGCAGTACGAGGGCACCTGAATTCACCTGCAGCTGGAGAAGTGTCGCTGCAGGAATTACAGGGAGCAACGTGGTCCAGACACTGGACCCAGGAGACAGCCACGCACTGCAGTCAGCAGCACTCAGTGAAGACGAGTGCGGAAGACAGTGACTCTCAAGCCCCCCTAGAAACCAGACAGAAAGGCGTGCCAGAGGAACGACGCATTTCTCTATTTAGTCTGATAGCTCGCTTTCTTGCAGGGCTGAGGACCCGGCGGGGGTCTTACATGCTGGGCATGGGCCCTAGCACCAAGTGTCTTAATTAGGGTCACCACTGCTGTGGTGAAACACCATGACCAAAGCAACCTGGAGAGGGAAGGGTTTATTTGGGTTATACTTCGACAGCACTGTTCATCATACAAGAAGTTAGAACA